TGCTCAAGCCTTTCCTGCTGCGTCGAGTCAAGACCGATGTGGAGTCGCTCATGCCTAAGAAGCGCGAGTATGTCCTCTACGCACCTTTGACGCCGATGCAACGTGAGCTCTATCAAGCAATCCTGGATGGTACGAGCCGCTCGTATTTGGAGGATAAAGCTGTCGAGAGACTCAGTGTCGGCCTGGCCAGCAGATCTGGAACTCCTTTGAGCATCCGCAGCAACAACAACAGTCTGAAGCGCAGGGCACTCAGTGGTGCGAACACACCCAATAAGAGTGCGAAGTCGTCTCGTGCAGGGACACCAGCCTCAGTGGCTTCTACTCGTGGGCGCACCCGAAGTAAGAGAAATTACGAAGAAGTCAGTGATGATGAGTACTTCGCAAACATCGACAAGGAGGACGAAACTTCCGAGAAAGAGGATGAGCTTGATTCCGAGGGCGAGGAGGACCGCATCCGCGCCGCCACCTTCGAGATTGCAAAGCGCCAGCTGCTGCAAAAGAAGCTCGGCAACCCCATCATGCAACTTCGCTTGTGCTGTAACTCACCCTACAACTTCTTCAACCCCTTCCTCAGAGCAGAAGTAGAAGGTGGTGAGACCTTTGCCTCTGACACCGAGCCCGACGAAACTATCGTTTCAACCTCAGGCAAAATGCTACTCCTCGACTCCCTCCTTCCCCCTCTCATCAACGACGGCCACAAAGTCCTCATCTTCAGTCAATTCACTACAACCCTCGACCTCATCGGCCAATACCTCACACTGCGCTCCTGGCCACACTCACGCATCGATGGCTCAGTCGCGCAGACAGACCGCCAGGACCAGATTCTCGCATTTAACAAATCCAAGTCCAAGACAGGGACCAATATTTTCATCCTCTCGACACGTGCAGGCGGTCAGGGCATCAACCTCGCGGCTGCGGACACCGTCATCCTGTTCGACTCAGACTGGAACCCGCAACAAGATCTCCAAGCGATGGACCGCGCGCATCGTATCGGTCAGACGCGGAACGTAATTGTGTACCGCTTCGCGACACGCAACACAGTAGAGCAGAAACTGCTCGAGTCTGCGGAGGCGAAGCGCAGGCTTGAGAAGCTGGTCATCCGGAAGGGCGGTGTAAGGAACAGTGCGCGAGGAGAAGCGGAGAAGGGCCAAGAGGTTGAAGAGCTGCAGAGGTTGCTTCGGAGGAGTGATGGCGAGAAGTTCGATGTTGCAGGTGAAAGTGAAGGGAAGTTGTTCAGCGACAAGGAGTTGGAAATTTTGCTTGATCGGAGTGACGAGGCGTATGAGAGGGCGGAGAAGGGACTGGACGTTGGCGGAGAGGGGCAGGTATTCCAAGCTGTGGGGAAGAGGGAAGAGGGAGCGCTTATGGAGGGGTTGAGGGCGTAGACTTGTTGTATACCACTTTCGCGGGTTGGAGACATTGATTTGTTGCCGATGATTTATCTTGGTGCTCATAGACAGCTTTGTCGTTCTTGAATTGTATTATTCCAATCGCATATAGGCAGCACAAATGCATCTTAAAGGCGAAAGGGACAAAGGCACAACACACCTATCACATATCTACCCCTTGCCCCTCCATGACCACATGATCGAAAGGAAGAATATCGAGTCTTACAACGATTCATCGAAGTACATGTAGCCCAGCATTACTCTCCTTTGACGCTAAACATTACAGTCGGCAGATTTGAACCTGGTAAATAAGCATAACCCATTTTGGCGCTAAGACTGCAGTGCAGGCACCTCGCATATACGAAGTACTTGCAGGGCAGCACGACTCTTCTCTGACGCTCGAAATTGCAGTACAAGTTTTGAAGGCAGTAGTGATTGGATGAGCGGTCACTTTGCACCAACTGGGCTGACAGCAACACTCTTCTCATTGAAGTTACAGTAAAGAAGGCAGGGCATTTAGTAACTGCATACTCGTTGATTTGAGGTCCGACGAGCGGACAACTAGAGTATTGAAATAAGAGTTAGCGCCATGCTTTTGCAACAGAGACTTAAGAATACATCTCTGCTGCGTTTCCGCCTACCGTTCAAATGAGAAAGATTGTTATAGAATTGCCATACTTAAAACTGGAAGAGCCATACACTCGAAAGTCAATATTGCTTAGGAGAGAAATCAGCTGACCGGCCAGGCCCCTTCATGATGCGAAAAAGGGAATGCAGTGCAGTTCCACTCACAGGTCCCATGAATTGACGGCACAGCTCTTCTCTGATACTAAGAATTGCAGTGCTGCAGCAAGGCAAAGCAGGCAAAGCAGGCAAAGACCGCCAAGCCTGGAAAGTCTGGCGCACTGGCACTGTTGCATTCGAGCGTGGTCACCATATTCGAGTCTCATGATTTTTATCTCGCAATGAAACTATGGGGGTTCAGGACTGCGGAAAACTTCCACGTCTTCAACAATACCTAAGGCCGAGAGGCATACATATGCCAAGACTGAAGGGCAAGCTCAGCTGACCTATCAAACCCCTGCATGCTGCCCTCTCGTATCCGAGAAGGAACGACAAGCGCCTTCCTGTGTAACACACTAACTTTCCAAGAGGATCTATAGGTCAGAACAGATCCTCTTTGAGTCTCGCTGTTGTCAATTCTGTAGGCAAATGGTACGCGCGCCACAAAACAGGCAAAGTAGGCAAAGACCGCGTAGTATTTAGCTAGCGCTACACCTTGCCCCTTGGAGGGCAACTTGAACAGCGCATCACACTTGGCAGAGGGCCTTACAGCTCGTATCCAAGGCAATCGCTGGACGATGAGCGTACATCTTGGATGTCTATAAAGGGGCTGGTCTTTCGCAGCAGATTTTCACGGTTTCTGCACAGCATTTTCTTCGATATGGAGGCTACCTACAGTTTAGTTTTTTTTTAGTACTAACAGAGCCGCATTAGCACTGCCTCAAACACTCGGCGCAATGTTACCATCCACGAGACCTTCCTAGAACAGACATGGTCTGAACTTCCTCTTGTCGACACTGGTTACTACAGTCAGTCGTACAACACCATACCAGGACACACTTGGACCGAACCTCTCGTCGACACTAGTCACTATGATCAGTCGTCCTTTGGCTTTGGAGCCATAGTCGGTGTACCAGGATACTTGATGCTGCCGCTCACGCCTGTTCTGCCTCAGCCCACGGATCAAGTCCAATTCGAATATATTGAACCCTCGACTCTGACCCCACCACTGCAGCCAAACGAGCCCATCGTAGAAGATAAAGCAGTAGTCATGACTCTACCTGACGGCCGTTTCTGCTGCTCTGAGCTAGGTTGTGACGCAGTCTACCTACATGCAGGTGATTGCCGCCGTCACCTCAAGAAGCACAACGGCCCATTTTTCTTCTGCATCCAACACGGATGTGATATGAAGTTCTACAGGCACGACAAGTTTCGACAACATATGCAACAGGGGCATGGAATCACTGTTGCACCGCCCAGACGAGGTCGTCGTGCCTAGGAAGTGTACCAGTGTGGAGGCCGCATGATGCACTGAGGTTTTACTTTACCCTACCACGTACTGCGTTGATGGTCTGTCCTTACTGTAGCTAGTCTGTCCTTACCGCAGCTAGTCTGTCATTACTGTAGCTGGTATGCCGTTGTCATGATCAGTCTGTCATTACCGTAACTAGTCATCAATTGTACCTATTCTTTCTATGAGAAATCTCCTAATGCTCGTCGGTTCGCACAAAGGCAACCTCTTTTTCCCACATATATATACATATGTACACTCTCCTTCCTAGCAGAACCACATACCTCAGGAATCCTGCAGCTCCGGTGCACCAGAATCACAAACACTCCACGCCTCTCATTGATCTTCTCGACACCACCTTCTCCTCTCGGCCTCCAAGTTCCCCTTGAAAGTTCTCACTCCTCACAAAGACCCCAACATCGGCCACACAACCCCCGGCCTCCCATTTCCCCTCTGACACCCCTTCCTCCCCTTTTCTTGCCCTTTCTCCCGCACCTCCTTGATTCTCGGTGCCGGAGCCAGCGCCTGTGTGCCCAGCAACGGCGTTGTCTCGGGACTGCGCGACCTGTTGTTCTTACTGCTCCTGTTCGTGCTAGAGTCTGTTCGCGCACTCGTTGAACACTGAGACGGTGAAGGCACTGTGCGAGTGGATCGATGAGGCTGGGTAGGTGGATTTTGTTTTGGCTGTGTTTTGGTTGCTCGGTTTGTATCACTTTGAGAGGGTGTGGGGGTGTTGAACATCCATTGCAGCAGCGCAGACGCGATTTGGAGGGATAGTGCGGATGACATGTTGACTCCAATCCGTCGGTGAGGAAGCAATAATTTCCAGAATTCAATGGGCGGTTTCCTTGATGCGTTGCGAACGATTGAAATAGTTCTTGAAAGACGCTGGTTGTAAATAGATGAAGAGAGATACTTGTTATTGCCTGTACAAAAGGAAAGAAGAACCCAACAGCAAATATACAAACACAGACCTGTGACCAGCCCTATCCACAGCAACAACAACCCTCTCCTCCAGCAACGACGCTGTGCACCCGTCACCGCTGACGTTGTGCCACAGCCCGCACGGATGGGGGAAGCGTGAGGCCCGAAGCGCAGCACCGCGCAGCACCGCGCATCGCTACCACACCCTACCATACCTCAATACACCACACTGCGCAGCGTCATTACGTGAGAGCGAGGGTGGCGCAGACGGGCATCTGACAAGAGCCAATCTGTACAACGCGTCTACACTCCAGATGCGCATGATGGGCAGCGTGAGACGGGTTGTGTGAATGAGAGGCGAAGCCTAGCGTACATCCCGCACTTTCACAACTCCGACCGGTTTGACCGACCGACCGTACAAAGGCCCCTCCCTCCATCCAAACCTCTCCACCAGTCAATTTCCGTATTCTCCTGACGCGGTCGCCTGACTCTAATATCTTTTCACGTGGCTCCTCCCCTCCACGGCCCGCTGTCGCCCCCACGGACTTGTCCGACTCCTCGCAACTGGAGATATATTCATTCTACCCCGCAAAAATTGCTATCTTACCAATCAAGACACGATGGCCGAGTGGTCTAAGGCGGTAGATTTAAGCTTTTGATGAACGCAAGACGCTCAAATCTCTACTACAGAAATGTGCGTGGGTTCGAACCCCACTCGTGTCATTTTGGCTTTTTTTGCGATCTTTTTGCGCGGGCGGGGGTGTAGGGTGAAGGAGGTGGTGATGGAGGGAAGATGTGGCGCGAGTCGAGACGCAGCAGGACGCTTGCACGAGCATTTGAACAAGGTGGAAGGAAACGCATGCCATAGAAGCCTATCCTTTTACCCAACCATTAATACTCATTCCCATCTCACTACCTCCTGACTGAACTTCCTCTTCCATCCCCCTCGCCTTCCCTCCCCACCTCCAGCCCCGCCAACTCCACAGCCGGCGTGCCCACCTCGACCACTTCATGCGCATACACCGTCTTCGCCTGCGCCTGCATTTCATGCCTCTGCCCACTTGCATCCATCTCTCCTCTCATTGCCCTCGCCTCGACCTCCACTCCCGCTGACATTCCCAGTCCCGCTCCTAACCCCGTACTCTGCTGATTCGCAAGTGCCCTTTGCTTTCGTCTCAACAGCCACAGCGCCAGACCGAGCAGCAGCGCGACGCCGGCTAGCGCGCCGAGGATGCATGCTGCGAGGAGGGCTGGAGAGGGCGAGCTTGACTTTGACGAGAAAGACGTTGGGGTGGACGAAGGTTGGTTGATGGCGCCTATATCGCACATGTCGATGCTGTAGTACGCCCACGTGCTGTTCCAGCACTCGCCGAGCTGGATTTCCTTTTGAAGGCCGCCACACACGGTGGTGTCGGGGTCGTCGACATAGATGGTGACTGTGCGCGAGAGGGATCAGTATGTACTCGTGCTCTAGTGTCTATCTCCGCGTGCAAATCGAGATGAACCGGGCAGATCGAAGGGAGTAAGTACCAGCACACCCAGCATCCAACCCTACCACCTGCAGACTCCCATAGCTCCCGCTGCGCCGTATGTCGGTGCAGGTTCCATTGGGGTACCCGTTCGGGCCATCGAGCCCTTTGTAGCTGTCCTGGCAGTTGGCGTCGGTGAACAACGCGATCTGGCTTGCAGCTGAGACAGTCGCTGCGAAGAGCGCAAGGAAGAAGGAGAGCGTAAAGTGGAACATATTGTGCTCGCAGATCCTGTTACTCCTCAGAAGGGCGAGGATACGGCCTCTGCTCTCGTCGCAAGCACAGGAACAATTGCCTCGTGCACAGCGGAGAACACAAATGCAACGTGCGAGTAGAAGTCAAGGCAGCACAGCAGAAATCCCCGCCGCGGGAACCAGACCAAACCAAACCACCCCAGCACGTTTCCTCTCCTCTTCCTATCTCGCCATCCCAGCTCCCCGTCCCGATCGGCCCTTAATCCTGTCTCCACCCAAGCCCGTGCCAACAGCGTTTTTCCCCTGCTGGGCGAGGCTGGACTGCCAGGACTGGGATGGGGGACGTGTGTGTGTGTGCCAAACGGCAGGCCCCGGCGGAGAAACATGCATGGATGATGCACCTGCATCCTTCGCCAAGCGGGCGGGTTTTGGGGGCCGCGAACAGGCCATCCAGCATCCACGGTTTGGTTATTAAGCAGGGGCTGTGGGGTTATCAGGTCGAGCCAAGACGGCTTTATCTACCGCCAGTGAGGCTGTGGTGTGATGGCTATTTGTGTGCTGTACTGAGCGTGGCCATGGTGAGGTTTCTGCCATTTGGGAGCATGGGGGTGTTCGTGGATGCCATGGATGTTTGGTGTGTTTTTTGCTTTCGCGGAAGGAGCGACGCTCTTATCAGCACCGGCTATGACATGGTATTGTCGCAGCGCATGAAGAGAGGTATCTAGTCTGGATGCATTGCAGGATTTGACAATGACATCCCGAATCCAGTAGCGTTGACACGTGCTTGGCGATACAGGGTCTAGCTGTGTGTGCATGTCGTTCCGCAGTGGCTGATGAAGGTCGAGTCGGAAATAACGAACTACGGTACCGTTAAACCTTAAGCAGAACAACGTCACAACCAGTAAACATTATTTGATTCCAAGCTGGTAGTGTCAAGGTGCATAATCACTATTTATTCTCCTGGCGTTCATACTCGTTTTTGATCTTGTTAGATTAGGCCAAATAGAGGAAGGCAACTGTTCAATCATACATTGGCAAGGAGTCTGGGGTACGAGGACGGAGGTCAGCGTTACCCATGATGCTGAAGCGTTCTGCGCAAGTCAGATATTTTACTTGAATTGCGACGGATTTGATAAGACGACAACGGTCTATCAGCAACAGATGCACCTGCAGATCATACAAAACGGTTACGAACAGAAGTTGAGGACGTAGAGAGATCCTCGCAGGTCTCATGGAAGAGCCCAATGTAAGAGTTCAGTGAGTCTATGAAGAAGTCAAGCGAACGAGTTCGATTGTGCAAATCGATCTTTGGATTCAAAGTCAAGGATGGGTAACAAACGGCGGTTGAGCAGTTCCAACCGTCTCGGCATCAAATTGCATATAACTGCCCGCCCAAGTCTTAGCCAGTTGCTATAAAGGTACTTTTCCCCCATCCGGTACAAAAGCCAGTAAAACGCCGTGTATGCATGTCGTAGTCAAAGGTCTTTCAGATAATACGACGACCAGGTATTTCAATACCAAATATCACGTCTCATGCTCAAGCATCCTCCTTGATCTCCAACTTGCTCTTCTTGTCCTCGCCACCAGCATTGTCCTCAGCCTTGCGCTTGTTGCTGGTATCCTGGACAACGGGGACGCCGTGGGCATCGCGCTCAATCTCCTTAGGGGCCTCCTTGGGGGTATCGTCCTTGCCGTTCTGGAAGCGGTCGCGGCGGTTCTTCCAGTCGTCGCCGTCGGTGGGGGAGCCATCACGGTCGCGCTTGTTGGAGCGTGTGTCGCGACGGTTACGGTCGTCGCGGCCGCCACGCTGGCCACCACGGGGTCCACCGCGTCCACCGCGTCCTCCACGTCCTCCGCGCCCGCCGTTCGCGCGGCCGTCGCGGTGCTCGCGCTTGTCGCTCTCCTTGCGCTCCCACTCCGGCTTGATGCCCTTCTCCTTGCACTTCATCTCCGAGTACTCCTTCTTGCCCATGGTGGTGAGCTCGGCGTCGTTGAACTTGGGGGCCGGGTCGAGGGCGAGGAACTGCTTCTGCGAGTCCTCGGAGTCGAACTCGACGAAGACGCTGCCCTTGAAGGTGCCGTCCTGCTCGCGCCTCTTGCGCACCATGACGGCGCCGAAGGGGCGGAAGAACTGCTCCAGCGCGATCTGACCGGCCTCGGGGTCGGAGGCAAAGCCCTTAACATAAGCACTGCGGCCGAGGTCGTTGTTGGAGGCGCGCTGAAGGCGGAAGAAGAGGTCGGAGGTGGAAGGAGGGTTCTTGGCGTCCTCGTCGCGGGCAGGCACTGTGATGGGCTCGGCGCGCTTGACGGCCTCGTTGCCAGCGCCGCTGTGCTCGCCGTCGTCGACAACGACGAGGTCCTTGCTCTCGCGGAGAGCGGCTACGATGGCAGTGTAGGGCTGGAAGCGGCGCATGCGCTTGAAGTCGGCAATGTGCTTGATGCTGACGGGGCGGTTGTTGGGGCCGTCCAGCTCCTTGAACAGGTGCTCGTCGGTGACCAGGTTGTGTGTGGAGAAATAGAACTCGACCTGGTTGCGGATCTCGACCGGGTCGTCGCTCTCAGGCAGGTCCTCAAACTCGTTGGTGCGGGCCCTGCGAAGTCAATCAGCACAGTACATGATATGAAGAGTCATCCACGCACTTCCTATTCTTGAAGCCACCACCGCCGCGGGGTCCTCCACGCCCACGGCCATTTCCGCGTCCACGGCCGCCAGAACGGTTGTCGCGGCGATCACGGTCGTCGCGGCGGTCGCTCTTCCTCTCGCTGTTGCCGCCAAGGTTCAGAATCTCCTCACCCTCGGTGGTGGGCGCATTGGCTACGCTGGGTCAGCTGCAATTCCTGTCGCAATTGCTGGGCGCACACGGGCGCGCACTCACTCTTGGGCTCCTCGACGGGGGCAGCCGCAGGGGCAGCAGCAGCAGTGGTGTCGGCCATAGCAAGTTCTGTATTAATCTGTGTCAAGTTAACTCTGAACTTGTGTGCGTGAGGCGAGAGCGAGAGCGCAGCGCCGGCGGAGAGCGAGAGCTTCTGATTTTCCTCGAGGCGCGCCCTCACCGCCCGGCAGAATGTCGACGGTGAACGACAGTTATTTTGAACGACGTCCGCATCTCCGCCGCGACCCCCATCCACGCCACATCCATCGCCCACCATGAGGAAGAAGCCGAGATTTCACTCGCTGAAGCAGCTGGTGCGTCTCCCCTCCGCAATTGACGCCCACGGACGCTGACCGTTCCTGCAGAGAGTCCGCCAGGACATGTCCAAATGGTCGCTGTACAGCATCTCGCAGCTGAAGCCCCAGAACACCACCTCGCGCACCTTCTTCCAGCAGAAATGGACCGCCAAAGCCACGACGCGCGCGTACCACGGCGAGCAGATCCGTGAGAAGAAATGGGCGCGGCTGTTCAAGCGATCTATTCCCGCCGTTGTGCCCATGGACCACAAGTACCTTGCCCGCCACGACGGCAGCGAGCAGGCCAGGGGTCGCGGCGCCGGCGCAGACTCGAGAGACATCACACGCGCGCCGGCCCCGACGCCCTACATGCAGATGACCTACTACCCGACGGAGCGCCGCCTCGACACGGCCATCTTCCGCGCCCTCTTCGCCAGCTCCGTGCGCCAGGCGCGCCAATTCTGCGTCCACGGGCTCGTCAAGGTCAACGGCAAGAAGATGCCGTACCCGGGTTACATGCTGAACCCCGGCGACATGTTCCAGGTCGAGCCCTCCTCAGTCATGTTCGCCACGGGCGCGCCCAAGGAGCGCTCCTCGACCGCCCGCCGCATCGCCAAAGAGCGCGCCGCCGCCCGCGCCGAAGCCCGCGAGGCCGCAGGAGGCCAAACACCACGCCAGCCCAAGGAAACCCCGATCGTCCCCGCAAAGGGCGAGGAGCCCACCCCAACCGAGCTCAAGAACCACCTACAAACCATGATGGCGGACGTCGACGCCGTCCTCCTCGAAGAAGTGGGCGCAAAAGACAAGCAGAAATTCCGCGCCTTCCGCCAA